CCAGGCTGAACACCCCCAGCTCCCTCAGCCTCTCCTCATAAGACTTGTGCTCCAGACCCCTCACCAGCTTTGTCGCCCTTCTCTGGACCCGCTCCAACACCTCAATGTCTTTTTTATGGTAGGGAGCCCAAAACCGGACACAGTACTCAAGGACAGCCGTAGGTTGTGTGTCCCCCACCTGGCTTTCCTTGCCTGTTATTTCTCCCTTGCTCATTTTCTCCAGAACTTAGCAAATGCAGGGCAACGACGTAGAGACCTCCTTCTGCCGAAGGGACTCGGACTCCCCCATTTGATTAGGGGCCATGGCCAAGGTGAACAACAAACACTCAGAATAAACACCAAGAAAGAAAAAAAAAAAGAGCTTTCCAAGAAAAGCAAGGCTGTGAGAGAAGGTGAGAAGGTACAACAGCAGCTCTTCCAATTTAAAAAAAGCCACTGCAAAGAGGAAATGACAAAGAATTGTTTCAATTGCAGCAAGGGAGAGTTAGGGTGCTAAAGGAAGCAGTTTCTCATAGTGCCAGAAGGTTTACAATTAATGGTTTATGAGATTTTGGAGTCTCCACAACAAAAAGTTTTAAAGGCAAGTACAAAACACCTCTTGCAAGCACTTCCAGTCCTGCTATTTGAGATCAGACAAGACAGACTTTCCAACATGGGCACTTCTTCTCTTTGCTAAGCATGCCTGATTGCGCTGTAAAACAGAGATGAAGGGTCACTCTTACTCACTCTCATGCCTCCTCGTTGCAACACTTCATTTAATCAGAGCAAAATGATCAGAAAGGAAATAGGAGCCAAGCTCTGGGGTTAGCAATAGCTCCAAGAAGCTACACAAACCTTAAGAAAACTTCAAAATTACCAGTCACTGCACATACAAGGGCTGTCAGTAACCACCTCAAAATACGTCTGATGTCCTGCAGGACACACATACTGGAGGATTTACTCCAACAGGGTTTGAGGCACACTAAGAATGAACAATGAACAAAACTGAACAGATGAGCACGGCAAACTCTTTCATGGCTAGATTGTTTCCAAATAGAAAGCGATCCCCTTTTCATCAAGATAAAACAAATGCCAACACCTATCCTTTTTTTAAATTAAATTAGTGGTGGCTGAAAAAAGCCAAAGATTTGTCCACACAAAATATGTTCTGCTATAGCAAATTCTGAAGGAGCTGCAGGGATGTAACAGATTTAACCACGGACTTGGCTGATGAAACAAGTCAAATGCCTCACCAGCTGGTAAAGTAACACAGGCAACTTTACACAAACTAGCAGCTCTTCTTTCCAAAACATTATTTATTTTACAATGCATGCAAAATGAAGACAATCACACAATCTCACCAGGAAGGGCACAGATAAAAACATGCTTGAGACAGTATAGTGGCAACATAGGAACTCTGAGACATTTCAAAAAGCCAGCAGGATGGTTTCTGTTGGACGCAGTGCTTGGAGAGGAAGGAAAGATGTGGAGAGCATCCTCTGGAAGCTCCCTCCAGCTTACATTCACACAAATATATGTGTTTTTAACCTCCTACCAAGACATGCCTCAATCCCACAACCACACTACTCTCTATTAGGGCAAGGGAGAGAATACTTGAGGGCAAGGCAGGGAGATAAAAGTATCATTATGCAACTGATTTTATATGGGTGCGGCTCACTGGTTTGATTAGCTTCCTCATTTACATTACCAAAGTAGTCAGGGGATTTCTTTGCATTAGGCTCTATATACATGCCATGGAAAAGTTATTGTCACCCCCACGCATCCATCCCCTTCCCCCAGGCTGAAGGTGAAGAGGTAAAACTGCCTACATCCAACCCCAGCCCCGAAGTGGAGTGATGACCACACCACTCTGCTGCAGTGCCCCTGAAATAGCCCAGGTCACAGTGCAAAATGCTGGGGGGTCAAAGGAAATGGAAGTGGAAGTGGAAATGGATGGAAATACAAATACCTGCTGCAGCTTTCCAGAAACACACACGAGAGGGCAGCACGTGCCAGCATATGGAAAACAGGCAGCCCACCAGGAACACACTAAAAAAAACCCCTTCTTTCCAAAAGGAAAAATTAGCCCAGGTCACAGTGCAAAATGCTGGGGGGGTCAAAGGAAGCAATTGCAAGATGGAAATACAAATACCTGCTGCAGCTTTCCAGAAACACACACGAGAGGGCAGCACGTGCCAGCATATGGAAAACAGGCAGCCCACCAGGAACACACTAAAAAAAAACTTCTTTCCAAAAGGAAAAATTGACATAGGCATGGGCCACCTGCAAGGCAGGGGTACCACAAATTTTTGTCTGCTTGGACACGGGAAAAGGTGAGAAAAACATCAGCTTTAACGTTCATTAACTAGCACCTGAGTTTGGCACTTGATGCTCTGGGAAGCAGTTCCAACACTGAAGATGTGCAGCAGGCTCCCTGCAGTGTCTGTCTGGGCCTTACACATTCATCCTCTGGTTGGCTCTGGGCCTGACATGCTTTCACGAGTGAAGTTTGTGCAAGCTGTGAAGGGAGACTCATAGAATTGCCCAGGCCGGAAGGGACCTCCAAAGGCCATCTAGTCCGACCTCCCCGCAGTCAGCAGGGACACCCCCAACTAGACCAGGTTGCCCAGGGCCTCATCGAGCCTCTCCTTGAATATCTCCAGGGAAGGGGCCTCAACCACCTCCCTGGGCAACCTGTTCCAGTGCTCCACCACCCTCACAGTGAAGAACCCTCTCCTCATCTCCAGTCTAAATCTGTTCCCCTCCAGCTTGAAGCCATTGCCCCTCGTCCTGTCACTGCAGGCCTTTCTAAACAGGTTCTCCCCAGCCTTCCTGTAG